AGAGAGAGAGAGAGAGAGAGAGAGAGAGAGAGAGAGAGAGAGAGAGATTGAGAAAGCAACGAAAAATCAAATGAAATGCAATTCAAACGAAATTCCATGCTCATATATGGTTCCATAAATTTACTATGCTTTTTATGGTACTTGAATTCTCGTAATGATTGGCACAGCTTCTTTTTGCAAACGGCGAAAAGTACAAGTCATGGCCACTGTTTTTCTGAAACCAATGGAATTCCTCATTGCAAATCCTTTTATGCCTCACACACACACACACACAAAGCATTTAAAAAGCGTTGACGTGATTTTTGAGAAGCAAACCAATTGGAAGAATATATACAGAAGCAGTAGCAGTGATGATGGCGACAAACGACATTGGCATTAGCAATAGCGTTGGCGTGAATTGAAAGCGTAACTAAATGAATATAAAACGGTCCTCGGAAGTTGAGTGTGGAAGGTTGTTTGCAAAAATACGGAATGCTTTGAAGTTAGCAACCGAAAGGGAGAGATCAGGCCAAAGCAACATGAATTGTGCATTTTATTTTATACCGTGTGAACAGGGCATATTCGAATGGATAATCACAAATATATTGACTGGGAAAAGGCAAGTGAATGACGAAAGAAATCTCCATTGGTCGATTTATTGATGTGTGTATATCGTCGATCAATTCGATGAAAATTGCATGCAATGATGACTTTTGCACGAAAAACAAGCTCCACTCAAATCGAAAAACGTGCGAAGGAAATCGCAACTGGAAAAAAGGAAAAAAAGAAGAGAAAAATAGAACAACGAGACATACACACATTCCGAGGAAGAGTTTGGGTCAATTCGAGAAAAAGATGATTAAACAGGAAATAATATTTTGATATTGAAACGGAAATAGGCGGAAATGAATGTGAATGGAATAATTTAAGATGAAGAGAAGGAAAGCGAGAGAGAGAGATATTTTTATGAATTCACGTATGAGCGAAAAAGAAGAAGTATGAAAAGTGAACATGTACAGTACAGTACAGGAGTGTTCGATTATACAGTATTTGGTTGATTGTTTTTGCTCTTGTTTGTTGCATAATTTTCAAATGAATGATTGTTTTGTATTGTTTACCGTCATTTGGATCGCGATCGATTGTGATTTGTACCTGGCATTGACCTGAATTATAAAAATCATTCCATTTCCCAAAGAAATGAAACAGAATCGGAAAAGAAAAGAACAGATAAAATAAATGTTTGTCGAAAAAATGTCCAAACCAAATAACAAAATCAAACGAAAAAAAAAAAATAATAAAACGGAAAGAAAGCAGAGTACAAATAAGGAAGAAACCGAAGGGGACAAAAATAAACGAAAAAAAAATCGTATGGCGAAAGAGAATGAACAATTTGATGATTTGTATCATTATGCACTGAAATTGTCAACTATATATAAGCTGTTTGTATGGCGATGGAAGAAGCGCGTTTCGATAAAACCCAAAAGAATGAAAACGAAACCCAAAAATAGTACGATAAATAAATGAGACTAATTTGATTGATTCACAAACACACGCGGTTCAATGAACAAATACGGTGTCACAACTCACCAATGCTAGTGTCGTAAGCGTGTAGGTACTCCGAAGTCATGAATTGAGAGACCAGCGAACTTTTGCCAACGGCCGTGTCTCCCAGCATTAACACCCTACAGAGAGATAGATAAACGATTCAATTTTTGGTGTTGGTTTCAAATAATAATGATCATTATGACGAAATTGAAGTGTTTGGATTTCATTTCGAGTTTTTTTGGTGTATTTTTTTGATATTTACCTGTATGGTCCTGCTCCTGGATTGGAGGTACTGCTTTCTCGGCTTGATGCTAAGCTACATGTAGCCGATGTTCGTGCCGAATTGCCCGGATTCGTTGCCGTCAAATGTTCCGTGCTGCACACGTGTGAATCATGATACAAAAACAACATATTTTCACACAATAATTTCATCAAATACACCAACCGAAAATGCTTCAATTTGTCTTTTCGACTAGATTCCAAAATAAATAACATGCTGCCACCACATGCCTTCCTCAAAAAACCTCCGCCCATCGAATGAATGGCACACAAAATGAAGAAGAATGACCAAACAAATTGTTGGAATAGTAAGTTGAATATATAGACAGAGAGAGTGACACACATGAAATAGAAAAAAAACCAAAAACGACTGACCTATCAAAAAGATTGCATCTATTTTGACCGGTTTCGGTTCGGTACCGTTTTGTTACGTTTGTGTTTTTTTTTCTTCCTTTTGGATTTGGCTGTGTCACTCTTTTTGAATTTCAACATACATATTACCGTATTGTGATAAAAAAGATAGAAAAAGATTCAACTGGGGACAATATTTACCTGGAATTTGAGCTAGCCACACTGGTATTTGAGCGGCTGCGACGGCTTTTCAACGAGTCACCACGATTGATGACACCTTTCCCAGTAATCGAGAAATGTCGCAATCGATAATACTCCTCTTCGACACCAGTATTTGGCATTGAAGCCACTCTGTTCGTAGAGAATGAAAAAAGGAACGAAAGAAAGAAGCAAAGTTGAAATGAGCATTTCCAGTGTACAATAATGTGTTGCATGCGTTAACATATCTCGGATAAGATCATGGTGCTGTGCTGTGTTGGCTCACCGGCCGCGACGACGATGACAAATCCAAAAATGAATCGAACCGAATGGTCAGCAAATAAAAAAAATAATTCACCAAACGGATAGAGCGATATATATGAAGAGAGAGACAGAGGGTGTGAGAATGAAAAAAAAACACACGGCAACGGAAATTTATTGTTATTGTGTGTGTGTGTGTGTGTGTATTTATGTAAATGTCGTTCCCGTTAAAGTGACACATTTGTGATAACGACATCGTTTTCATTTTGATATGCCAAAATGGAAAAAAAATACACATCAATGGATGAGCCACAAAGGAAATAAGTTAGTAGGTAGTGCCGACGAAGAGGAAGAAGAAGAAAAAGCGTGTAACCAACTGTCGCTGCACGCTCAAAGTCAATATGATAACGTCCTGCTGCTAAAGCACACAAGCAAATACGATGCTGAAGATTACATAGCATTTTGTCAATTCAAGCGAATGAATTGAATGGTAGGCAGCAGTCGGGCAGGCAATCGGTATTGGTATATTAGATGAAACATCGGTGAGAATTTCTTGGTATTAATTTTTTTTGTTCGGAAATGAAAAAAAACCATACACTTCGTAACAATCCAGCGTGCGTTTTGCCTGATCTCGATATTCACTTTCCATTTGAAAAGATTAAAGTACCTCTCTGCATTTGACATGCTGGAACAAAGTTGAATTATACACACGCCGAACGTACATTTCTTGATTTGGTTTTTTTCTTCGTTTTATTGTTATTTAATAATTGTGTTACAGTTGAATGCGAAAATCGATATGAGATCTTGTAGTAGCTGAACATGACTTCAATCAAGATAGAGAGAGAATGAATGTGAGAAAGGGAGTGCGAAGGAAGAAAAAGGTCGAAAGAGCAGACAAATAGACAAATTGACAAGGTGTACACTTTTAACATTTGAAGAAAAAAAAAACTGACATTCAATGGCATTATCCGTTTGAAACGGATTTCCCTCATTCGACATCGCAGGCAACTTTTTATCCAGTATATGAACAAATTGAGTGAATTTAAAGACATACGCACGGTAAAAGCTGACATTTTTTTTTAAAAAAAAGCCATTGAAATCAACGTATATGAAAAGGAATATGGATTAGGGCGTTGGTTACCCAGCATTGAACATTGAACATTTGGAGTTGCCAATCAATTAGCGAATAGATGTTGCGACTGAACACGGACACAATATTGGGAGAGCCTGTCAATTGCTGAGCTTTCGAAAATGCATCTCTTTCCATGAGCAAAAATTTTCATCTGGCAGGGTTGTACTTATACATTTAAATACATCAGCATTTCAATTTTTGATTATTCGGCTCAACCACATTCGATTCGATACCCATCACTTGGCCGTTATTATTCGGCTTCGATCATTTTATTGATGTTCCCGAATATGCAGAGCTGACATGGGCATCTACGAGGTGCCGGCACTTACTACATTGGGTGCGCACCTAGTCCTATTCGAAAAATAAATTTTGAGTATTTTTGAGATTGATGTAATTTTTTAAAAATAAATCTATGATATTTAGATGATAAAAAAAAATCAAATTTCAAAACATCCAAAAATATTGAGAAAAAAGGTATTTTGAAATAGTACTAGGTGCGCACCCAAGTAAGTGCCGGCACCCCGTAGGTGCCTATGTCAGCTCTGCGAATATGGAAAAATGCTTTTTTTCCCTGTTCTTGCTGGTTCTGTTCTCATTTTCAATCATGTGTTCATGCATTCCAATATTTCCTTTCTTTTGTGTGATTCCATGCTGCTAAGCCGATTTACATTTAGATATATAGATATACATATATTGTTATAATATCGAATATGCTGATGGAATAGGTGAATCGATGTTCTTTGTATTCAACGAAATAATAAATATTCGAATGCCATTTCCCATACTCCCAACTTACCATCCAAATGCGAATGACCGAATTTGAAGGAAATTAGACAAATTCCCAAATAACATCCATTGTGGCGGTATTTCGGAGGCAACCCATCCAAAAAAAGACATACTATATCAGCATTGAAATGGTAAAACCCGACATTTGAAATAAATGTAAACAATATTGCCCACATTTGAATTAAGTGTGTGCGTATAAGTGTGTGCTTGTATTGGAGTGGGTTGCAATTCTATGCACGAAACTCAAGCTTCGGCTATCTCTAAATAAAATTTAAATGAGACTTAATTTAGTCACATTCATCACACTAGTAGTGGCTCATACATAATGCTCGAAGCCACCAGATGCACAGACAACGACAGGCACACGCACCCTGGAAACATGCATGCGTGATGAATTTGTTTTTTTTTTATCTAAGCGGCAAACATTTGGTGAAACGTCAAAATAAAAAAAGAAGAAACAAGAGAATAAAGTGGATTTCCTTTACCTTGAGCGCTGTTGCGGAAGACTTAGCTGATTTGGTCTACCTGAACCTCGACCGGGTGCTTTTACCGATTGCGAACGGCAATGATGCGGCGAACCGTATCTGCTTAAAAAATACGAAATCGAAAGAAAGAAAGAAAGAAAAAGAGGGAAAAAAACGCAACGAGAAACAAGACAAAAGTAAAACATCAGTGGTAGCAAGGGACTACGGGATAGAAAAAAAAACGAAAATACACTGAATGAATCAAACAAAAATGTGGCATACACAAAACGATTATTGTCAAATGAATGTCTTGTTCATCGACAAATCGTCCACCATTGATGATAGGGTACAACCGGGCGTATAAAAAATATAGTATGAAGATTTGTGGGCAAATGCGGCGGTTATACACACACACACCATCTCTCCGCACAATGGCCTACCTCATTTCGAACTCTCGCATTTCTTCCGATGTTATTGTGTTGGTAACGTCAAGCAATTGTCGCATATTTTCTTCACGTCGTTTCTTTTTTTCACCCACGCTGATGCTACTATTACCTAGCTTCTGGTTACCCTGTTCAACGCTCACAAATTCACCTTCATTCTTCAACAGGAAAACCTCAACCGCATTGTCCAGACTCAACGATGGCTGCAGGCACAAGTTATTGATGTTTTTTTTTTATTCGTTTGTTTATTTGTTTCATCATGGCAAACGTATTCCACGGAGACATACAGTGAAAAGTGAAAGAGCAAGACAGAGAGAAAAAAAATAGAGAAGGAAATGAAAAAAAATGATAAAGAGGGAAAAAAAATGAAACAAAAATGTCGCAAAAACGGTTTTATGAGTGAACACATTTCCATCAATGAGATTTTTACTAAATTTATGGTGCTAAAACAGCATTTCGTCTAAAAGCATGAAATTTTCGAACGTTAAACACTCGATAATGTTCGACATCTAGCAACGTTCACATCAGCATCAGCAGAATGAAGGAAAAAAACACACACACTAGCTGATATAATTTCATTTGAAGATGGCAACGGAAAGATATTTCCCACTCTGGTATAATATAATCAAATTGCAATCAACTAGTAGCTCTTTGAATTTTGCACCCACCAAATTGGACATTTTAATCAAATTCATCACCAAATTCAATTTCACATTAAGAAAAGTGTATGTATGCACGCTCGGTTCGTTTACACAAGTGAGCACACACATTTGGCTGACATTCATCGAATATTTTTGCGAGAAATGGCATGCTTAGCATAAGTTAGGTTCTTTCTCAATAGCAGCAACAGCAATGGGAGAGAGAGAGAGAGAGAGAGAGAGAGAGAGAGAAAAGAAAAAAAACATCCGTCTCACTTGGAGTTTTAATGCGAGCGAAAAGAAACCATTGAATATTGGCTCCATTTTTCTCTCTGCACATGAGAGTTTTATTTACGTTGAAAGCTTTTAACGCAAAAACGCAATTTTCCCTCGAAAAATCATTGCACTTCATTTTCGCCTCGGTTTTTGTTTGTCATTTATGATTTTATAGGGAAATTTATTCGCTCTTTCACACATACATAAAATAAAAACCTCATAAATTATCGCACACGATGTGGAATCGCATTTTCCAACACAACGACGATATTCAATCAATAATAATAACAGAAACATACACACAGCTACAGTCAAATGAAAACATCAAAAGATTCGCATGCAAATTGATGAACGAACGTGGTCATGACTCATGGGAAAAGGCTTCAGTCGCAAAGAAAATGTGATCGAAACACATAGTCGGAGCCAAAAATGCGATTAACCACTTTCAAAATGCCACAAACTACACGCAAAATATGCGCCATACTTGCTATGTATGAATCTATGTGTGAAAATAAATGTGTCGCCAAACATCAAGACAAAAATGAATATTCAAACCAATTCATACTATTTCAAATAAAATGGCAGCACAGCTAGCTATCACATAGAAGAGTGGGAGAAAAGGAAAACAAAACTTTCTACGTAAGTATAGCACCTACTTACTATGGACATACTGCAAGAGAGGAAACAAACCATTCATAAATCAAGTTGTGATAGCATGCGATTCGTAAAAATGATTTCGTTTTTTTTTTTATTTCAATCTAAAGCGGGAAGCCAATAAAGAGAATACCCAAATCGTTTGCTTTTTCTCTAAACGTCCTTTAGAGCCTTTTCACCATCGATAGAGATTTAATGACTTTTTTGAAATAAAAAAATGAGTAATTTTCAAACACACTAACTAGTTTATTCAATTTAAACTTTTAAATTACGTTGAATAATTCATATTCAGACGAGAAAAAAAATGCCCATTTATAAATATATTCATTTTGTGCATAGAAGAAGAAAAAAGAAGTCGAATCAGTACAAGATAAATTGGTTTAGGATTTGTTTGCTGCTCATTGAAACGTGAGTGACACATTTCCAATAGACAATTGTGCTGGACTGGCTGAAATATTGAAGTGTAGATATTTAGCGATATAAAATGCAAGCATCAAAATGGTACATGAGTAGTATATAAATGTCTTTTTCGTCCAGCCAACTTATTGCTAAAACCAATTTCCCCACTCTCTCTCTATTTTTTTGTGTACATTTGAATTTTTTTTACCAATGGATTCTAACAAATCGGAAATTAAGCCACTATTTACCAGTAATAGTGCTGAAAAACATATATATCAATTTTTTGTTTACAATTTCCAGTATCAAAATCCATTCTATATGTTAACATTATAATGCTTTTTGACAGGAGGTATTAGCGCCATCTAGCCACTGCTTACAAAGACTGTGACCACTGCTATGAGAATGTTTGTGTTTCAAAAACAACAACGACAACACTAGCAACAACACTAAATAAGTTTCAGTCGAAAAACGTTCTAACTAACAAGATGGCTGTAGTAGTACATGTACTCTCCGAACATTGTAACATTGCAATTTCATACCACTTGCTCATAATTAGCACTCTGTGCTTGTAAGAAAAAAACGTAAATAGAGTTCAATGTGTTGTATGTGAATTCAAACATATATATTGTTATTTATTATGCATCACCAAAAAAATTATCCTATCCATTATCTCTATGGTCTAAACGAAGAAGAGAAAACATAAAATTAGAAGCATTGCGTGACTGTAAAAAAGACAAAGAGAGGTGAATGTATCGAAAAAACAAAGAAAAAACCGGTGAGTTCATTGGTGAGTTTTACCCTTTCTTTCTTTCTCTCTTCATTACTGTGTGAAAGACAGCAATGACAACGAGAGAAATTCATACAAACGATTTGCTATTTCCAGTTGCTAAATGACCTGTGCCGGTATTCTAACACCATTCCGAACACTTTGTTCGGAATTATTCCGAGCGATCAATTGTATTTTGGAAAGTGGTATCCAAACGTTATATATGGATTTGTCTATTTTTCATTGATTGAACGTTTGGTTTCCACCTTCCAAAATACAATTGATCGCTCGGAATAATTCCGAACAAAGTGTTCGGAATGGTGTTAGAATACCGGCACTGTATGATCATATGCATTACGATTTCCTCGATCTTCAAACTACAAACTGTTGATTTTTTCCTTAGTTAGATAGTACAAGTATAGTACTATATACTAGTATAGTACTATATCAACACATACTAACCAGTATGAAGTTCAACCGGGTTGTCATTAGCTTTTCTACACACTCGAAATAAGTTCACGTACAACAAATGTATGGCCTAGATCGAGAGTAAAGTAAGTCCGCTTGAATTTATGCTTATCATACATTCATGCGCGTGTTTAATTAACGAATGAAAGAAAAAATGAGAAAAAAAAAACAATAGAAAAGCTGATGACATCCAAACCGGTTGAACTTGACAAAAATGCACCATTCGATTTGAATCACCCATTATATATATAAATGATGGTAGCCAAAGTTCAAGTTGATCACTTTAAAATAATTCGTTGTGTATGCAGCTTTGTACGTTTCAAATGTATTTAAATATCATATTCACTACAATGATACTCCCAGCTGTTAGTTACATTTCAGCTGCACCAAATAATTCAATTGCAAAAGGTGATTTCAATAAAAATTGACTAATCACTTTTCAAATAATTTATTTATTTTTATTGCCATTGTATAGCAAACAAAGATCTTCATCAATGGATAGAGGAAGGGTACTTTCTTATCATCATTTTTCATTATTAATTCAATTTTTCTCATTAAAACACAGATTGAAGTGGCTCTTAATCCCGGAATGAAATACGCGGTTTGTAGCAATTATAACTTAAATGCATTCAGTGTGATACATTGCTAACTTAATTTCCATTTTATATTAAGCCCAGTTATAAGCCTTTCGAATTCGAATTACTTCCAAACTTGTGTTTTGAAAATTATGTGGCAAAATTGGATTGTGCTATTGAGACTTTGTCCAGAAATTATAATGATATTCAATGAATATTATTCATGCTTGGAATGCGATCCAACTTTATGGAAGAAATGCAGACAGAAAATTTGTTGGAGATGTTGTTGAATATTTAAATCGTTGTGAATAATATTTTGGCGGCAAAGTAAAAATATTTCTGAAATCATTGAATAAACATCTAAACGATTGTTCTCGTCCACTTCCTCTTACACACTTCGGAGTAAGCTCTTTTGGAACAAAAATTTAGCACTAATAACAATATAAACAACTTTCTTTACAATTCTAGGCAAGAAATTTATGCGAAGATTTATGTGTTATTCAAGCGGTCCGTGGTATTGTTCTTCCAAAATTTGATTTAGCTAAATATGCAAAACAATTTAACACCACTCAAGCTGAACATTTGAATGTCGCTAATGATTCAATTCTCTTGAATGTTATATCAGAAATGTGTGAAAAAATGTTCAATGTCCAGATAAAATGTGCGTTTGAACGTTATAAAAATATTCCAGAGGAAACAGAACGTATTTTAGTATTATTTCTTCTCCAAACTTTGATCGATGTTAAATATTATCTAAAATACAATGCTGAACGGGAAAGTGTAGTTTTACCAACTGGATATATTGAAAACCCATATAAGCATAGGGATGAAAGTGGAGGATATGCTGCATATTTTGGTGACTCACTGTGCTTTGAATTTTCTTTGACCTCTTCTAATGGAAGTATTTAAATGTGAAACTTCGACATCGACAATTTAAAAAAAATAATGTCCCATTCAGTTTTTCATTACGTTTTTGCTTTGATTGAAATTGATTATTTAAATTGAAAACATTAATTGATAGACGCACATTACACATTGCCGTAATGATACATAAAATAATTAATAAAAATGCGCCTCCGTATCTTGATAATTTAATAGAAATTAATGAAAATAATACTAGGTCCCAGAATAAAACAATAATAAGAAAACCAGAAAATAACTTTCACAAAAATTCATTAGCAATAAGTGGACCTACACTATGGAATAAAATTCCAAATGAAATAAGAGAAATTAGTGATGTTAAGCAATTTGCCAAAGAAATGTATTCATATTTACTAAAAAAATGATTATTTATATTATATTGAATTAAACTAAATGTAAAACTCAATTGGCCAATATGGCAGCATGTATTTAGCCTAGCTAATACCGAATGAAATAAAAATAAATAAATAAATAAATAATTGATTTTATAAGTAACGTTTTTT